GCCGAGCATGTGCAGGAAGAGAGAGAAATCAAATTGGCTGGATCACACATCCTCGTACTCACGTAGGAGGTGAGTGGTGGGAATTAACCCTGAAGGGTGCTTTAGGGCCAGGGTGTGAATGTCCTTAACATCAGGCTAACAAGTCTGGATTATATCTTAAAGAAAATGGGTGGATAATAGATATTTAAATCTCCAGTTTATCCTAATCATATGTGATTCAGAAGATCGATCTTGAAAGAGTATGGACAACACACAGAGCCTGAAATAAGGCCAACCAATTAAGACGCTGTTGCAATAGTCCAGGGTCAGTTCCAGTCTCACCTGCCAGGTATTTATGGCAGAGCTCGTCGGATGCCCATAATCTATCACCCTGCATTCCTCAGGAACAGATCTCTACAGTCTCAGAGGTGCCCTGTGGTTAGCCTTCGTTACAGCTCGGAGCGACTACTGAAACTTTGGAGAAGGCATGTTAAGATGTCTACACGGGGGAAAGCCCGAGGGCAGGGGGCAGAGCACTGCTGCCCACAGACATCCACGTCCCCTGGACCTGTGCACACCTTACCTTCCATGTGACGGGGAATTAAGGCTGCAGGTAGAACTGCAGTCGCTGATAATCAGAGAGCTTTAAAGATTATCCTGGAGAGTCCAGGTGGGTCCGGCCTAGTGATGAGAGAGGAAGACGAGGACAGGGTAATGCAGTGCGGGAAGACTCAGCTCGTGTCTTATTGGCTTTGAAAACAAAGGCAGGGGCCACAAACTAAGGAATGCCAGTGGTCCCAGGGAGCTGGAACAGATACAGAAGCAGCACCGTCCCCCCTGGAACCTCCAGAAGGAAATACAGCTCTGCTGACACCTTGACTTGACCCCACTGCAAGCCGTATTTCTTTTTTTTTTTCTTTAAAGAATTATTTTATTTAATTTTGTTTATTCATTTATTTAAATTTGACCAGACACACACACACACACACACACACAGAGAGAGAGAGAGAGAGAGAGAGAGAGAGAGAGAGAGAGATTTTAATTTGACCAAAGAGAGAGAGAGAGAGAGAGAGGGAAAGTGAGAAAGCAAGCCACTTTCAAGTCTGGGACTCGAACTGTGGTCGGCCATGTGGGAATGTCCAGCACCTTAACCACCACGTCACCTGCTGGTCCCTGCAAGCTGTATTTCTAACCTATAGGGTGCATTGCAGGAAAGGTGTGTTGTGTTAACTCACCACATTATTTGTGGTGATTTGTTGCAATGGCAATGGAAGACTAATACAGTGAACACTCTTCTTTTGACTTGTTCCCTGCTTCATTTTTTTTTTTTAAAGTTAACTTTCTGAGAGAGAAGGAGAGAGAGAGAGACCCTTATTAGGGTCTTTATACTGTAATCTTCCCTCTAGCCTAGAGGCCAGCCAGGATCACGAGTGTACATGCAAGTATACCCTGCGTGTTGAGGTAGAAGTGGGATACGGACCCGGGGTCTTCCCATGGCTTCAATATGACATAGTAGCACTCCTACTTCATGTACCACTGGGCCGGGCTGCTTCCTGCTTCCTTTCAGCTGCTGGGATGCAGATGTGATGGCTGGAGTTTCAGCATCCCTCATGGACTGTAAGGCAAACCTGAGAATGACCACTATGCATTAAGGAGAGTAGACCAAGAAGATAGAAGATTTGGGTCCCTCATGGTCATGTTTTGAACTCTTAACTGCTGAATTTCTTTTACGTGAGAGAAAAATAACTCCTTAGGTGTTTGGCTATTATCAGGTCCCTATTAATAAATAATTCCTAAAAATAATTCCTGACTAACATAACAGTGTACGTTGGAGAACCTTCTAACCCTCAGATTCAACATACCACACATCTGTAACAATTTAAACTTACCGTATGCCAGACACAGTTTTCTTTCCCCAGATCTCCCAGTGTCTGCTCAAGGCACCATCATTCTCAAAGCTACCAGGCTAAACATCTTAGAGTTCCCCTTAAGTGCTGCCTCATCTTTATCTGCATATGTAATCGCTGTTGAGTCAGTCATTCTGCCACTGTAGGGGCTCTCACAGCTGTCTTCCTCTCTCAGCACTGGCCCTGCTCTAGATGAGACGCTCTCTCTTTGGGTGTGCTTCTCTCTGTCTCTCTGTCTCTCTCTCCTCTGTCCCGTCTCTCAGGTATTACAAAAGCTTTGGTCTTTACCTGCTCATCTCAAATCCATCTTACGAACGCCTATATTCAGTGATCATTGGCATCTTTTTAAAGAATAGTTCTAGTCATATCAATTCATCTCTAACCTCTTCAGTGTTTCCCCCCCCCCCTCTCAACACAGCACTCTGGACCCCACTGCCTTAATCTTGCATTCGAGGCCGCAACTCAGCCACCCTCTGTGTGTCTGTGCATTTCAGGTGGTTTCTCATGTTCTTCCTAAGCGTGTCTCCCATCCCCTGCTTCTGTAGCTCCCAGCTTTCCACACACGAGGCCGGTTTTCCACAACTTGCTCTCTCATTGTTTCTTTTTCTTTCTTTCTTGGTACTTATTACAGTTGGTAAATAAGTTTACTTATTTACAGATTATTTACTTACGTTTTCGCTTTCACGAAAATGTGAGCTCCCTGAGGACATGTCAGTCCCGTCCCAATTTCTAGTGCCCAGAGGAGTGATCATTATTTATTTATTGAATGAATGAGAGTGATGCTTCTGTAAAACCCATCCAAGTTCTACATAGAGTGATTTTAAAATTTAAGCCGGAGGGGCCAGCTGGTGGGGTAGTAGTTAAAGTGCTGGACTTCCGCAAGGTTGACGGTGTTTTGGGTCTCGGATCCAGCAACTTGAAACACACTGGGTACGTATGTGTGCACACCCAAAATCCTGAGAGGAGAATGTAGGAGAAGGGATTGCAGTGTGGCTGTCTAACCTGGGGAGGAGGGTGATTTCTAACTTTCTCTCTCTAAACCTCTGTCTCTCCAGTGATTGCACATGCCCTATAGCAAAATCTCTCTCTCTCTCTCTCAAAAAAAAAAATAATAAGGCAGAAAACACATCCCTCTACTTTGGTTCTCCCATCTCTGTGAAGAGCACCCTCAGGTCCAGGTATGAGTGTCATCCTCACACAAGGAGACAAGAGAAACACCTGCACCCTGATGGCAGGGTGGACACCATTATTGACCAAGGGCCCTGCCCTCTGCGTGCTCATGTCTGTCTGATCTCTGGCTGGTCAAATGGTCGAATGAATAAAAGCCCGTCCTATTTTACATTCACCTTCTGTTGAACCACGAGGAAAACCAAGCCTTTAAACCCTGATTTTCCCTGGGGGTCATTGAACTGCTGAAAACCTAGTTTGCCCCTGTAACTGTCTAAATCAACACACTTGGAGCAGGGCAGTAAGTTTTATTCCTCTCTCAGCCAACAAATACGACAGTCCCCATGCCTAGATGCTCCCAAACCTTGTGATCACAGAAAGAAAAATATATCTCAGGAACTTTTCTCTTGCTCAATAGTGGGCAAGAACATATTTTATGTTGCAAAGATCTTGGACGAGGGGAACACAGCTTAGCTGCCCAACAGTGGCTGCCACAGTGTTAGAGGTGTGGAGGTCAGGTACACAGAGCCACCTCGGGCGCGGGACACACTGCGTGACTTTGCACTCCCAGAGAAGTTCTATAGCCCTCTGGTACTCTGTGACATCATATCTTTTCAAACACTTCTGTGTGTGTGTGTGTGTGCGCGTATCTCCGCAAATAAATGTTGCAATTCAGATGACCATTTAATAACATTTATACTTTACAATTTGATGCACATATGATACCCTAGAAATGTCAGATGGACCACAAAGGATGTTTTATTATCATTATTATTTTTTTGAGTACAAAATGTCTTTCATTTACTGTGTGCCTCTGTCCTTTCTCAGGTCCCCTCTGTTTCCCTTCCACTCCCTCCCTCTCCTTTTCTTTTTCTTTCTCTCTCTCTTTTTTTTTTTTTTGCCAAGCAAAAATCGTTCCTTCTCAGATTGTCAGAAAAGTAATCTATGTTTAAGTTTCCAGAATTTTCGTTCTCCTGTCATTAAACATGACAGAGGGGTTTAGGGCAAGAGAAAGCATTGTTTGAAAAGTAAAACCATTTTTTAGTGTAACCTAAACATGCACTAGTCCAATGTTTAGACAGCTCAGCAGGTGAAAGCTGGATTTTGAACATATTTTCAGAGTGTTCGTTGGCGTGTGGCATAGTCGAGGGAGCTGGTATGTAAGTTACCAAAAAGAATACATTCTGGGTAGAAATTTTTAGCGCATTTCATCTTGAAACTAAAAATAGCCATATTGTGTTTTAACATGCAGACAACCCTGCTTCTGCTCTGGGTTTGGACGCTTGGTCAGGAAAGCCATCCTGGTGTTTCAGATGTCACGTTCTTTAGAAAGAAAACTGTCTTTTTCTTTTTCTTTTCTTAGGGGGAGCTGTGGTTTAGGATAGGCACAGAGCTGGGGGCATAACCAAGAGCAGAAAAAATTGTATCCCCCCCTGCTCTGTTTGTCAAACTGACCTACAGGTCACAACCTGAAAGTTTATGGATCCGTGAGGCCTTGTCTCCGCATAAGCATGTTTTCTGGACTTTGGCTGAAGCTAAATTCCTGACTTCTGAAAGAGGGGTGGGTGTGGACTTCCAGCAGGAATTTTTTTTGGGGACTCCAAGCAGAAATAGCCAGTGGGAAGGAAGTAATATTCATTAAGAGTGTCTCATGCAAGCCGTGCGGGGCTAAGCATGCTCAGTGTAAATTCTCCTGGAGTCTGTCAAGCTATGTTTGAACTCGTTCCAGAATACTGGATTTACTTTTTTTTTTTTTTCCTTGCACCAGAAAGAATGCTCGATTAACCTGCATTTTTGTCTTGCTTTGCTTTTCTTTCTTTCCCTTTCTTTCTTTCTCTTCTTTTCTTTCTCTTTCTTCTTTCTTTCTTTTTCTTCTGCCTTTATCTTTCTTTCCTTCT